AATGTATCATCACTGGAATGCTGGAATTCCTTGTCACACAACATCCGCAACATCAGTTCTCTTGACAACTTTAAGGGCAGACTGAAAACTGATCTGTTTTCTCCACATAATCTGTAAATTGTCTTCTGGAGTTGTCCTTAGTCGCGCATTGTTACTTGCAAAAATGCGCGCTATAAATCGTGTTATTATTATTATTATTATCACAATTTGCTTTGCAAGAAACGTCGTATCGAAATCCACCGTTGCTGTGGTGGAAATGTGGCAAAACGCGATCTTTGGAGTTTTTACTCAAAACAATGAATTTCAGATGGAGATTCCAATTTCAAAACACATTCTTAAGTACGATGCAAGCATTTTCCAAATTATCCTCCCGACACCTGGTTATATACAACTAGACCTGGTTTTGCCATTGAATAAACACATTAATTTCAAATTAACCTGACAAAAGGCGATACCTACATTAAGCAGATGAGATTATGTTCAGTATGAACACTCGTCTGAAAGAAGCCTCTTGTAGTTGACAGCTTTTCCATCCACGTTCCTTCTAGTTAACAGAACTGCGTAGTTTGCAAACCACCACGCAGGTCGTCTAGGCAGAAACTCCTAGAGATCCTTCCCGGCGCGCTCTTTTATATGCGCTATGCATGTTAGAGACAAGTTTCGTTTTCGTTTGTCATGTGAGCCGGTAATTTCCAGATTCGGCACACCAGAACCAGTTACGTGCGCGAATGTGTGACTGGATGACGCAACATTCACCAAAGATGCATGATTTGAGTTGGAATCGTTCACGATTGGATAAAATATCACGTTACTTTATGGTAATATGGTAATGATTGCGTGTATGCATAATCCTTACTTTACGTCGCACCACGCCTAACAAGGTGTGGTTGAAATATGTGAAATATCTCGTTCTTTGTCCATCATAGTATGGCTAACGTTAATGAATAACTTGGGGTTTTCTAACTAAAAGTTTCAAAGCAGTGTAAGTATGCAATGATTAAAACAATAACATTTAAACTTTCCGCTTATAGACTTCTCATTATATTAGTGCCGTACATGTTATATTAATACATCTGTACACAACAGCGCAGGATCAACGATGAGGCATCAGTCTGCTAAATACGTCTCCTCATTTGCCTCAATGAGTGCCACACAGTGGCGTAGCCACGGGGGGGGGGGGGGGGGGGGGGGGGGGGGGGGGGGGCGACCCCCCCCCCCCATGAAACCTTGTCGCCCCCCCCCCCCCAGTCGCCCCCCCCCCCACTGAGATTTTGAGTTTCTAAAAAAATTATCATTGATCTACATGACGCAATGGGCCCTATTATGTACTACAATGTATCTTTTGCTTAGAAAATATTGGTTAAACTGGTCAGAAATTGCCTCAGATAGCACCACAGAGCATTTAGAATCCAAAATTTTTCGGGGCCCTCAAGCGGGCCCCGAACCCCACGCCTATAGCTCAGAATTCTGGTAGCTGATTCAACGACTCCAACCTCGAAAACAATGTTCACAAAATGTTCTTATGCCTTTAGCTGAGAGAACCTCGAAAATTATGTTTAAATTATTATCTTTTGTGCTAAGATAATTATTGGTTAAAGTGGTAAGAAATTGCCTCAGATCACACCACAGAGCATCGAAAATCCACGCCAATGGCTCTGAATACCGATAGCTGATTCAATATCTCCAACCTCGAAAACGATGTTCAAATAATTATCTTTTGCCAAGAAAATATTAGTTAACGCATGGAGGAAAGTCGTAAGAAATTGCTTCAAATCACACCACAGAACATCTAGAATCCAATTTGTTTTCGGGGCTCTTAAGCGGGCCCCGAACCCCACGCCGTAAGGGCTTCGCGCTTCGCGCTTCGCGCTTGCATCAGTTGTGATCAAGGTATGTATGGAAAAGCGATTGACGCCCCTACTTGACGCCCCTCCCCCCCCCCCCCCCCCATGATTGTGTGTTGGTTCGCCGAGAGGACTAGAGTATGCCAGGGATATTTTTGGCTACTTCCTGATTCAGCATTTATCAAACATAGAAACATTTCCTTTTGCTGTTTTTTGTTGAACTAGTATAAATATTCACATGCATCATCTGATTTCTGTTTCAGTTTTAAACATAAACATTTCTGTTGTGTTCGAAGTTTCTTTGAACTTATGTACTAATATGTACACACATAAAACTTGTGCTGTACAACTTGGCAATAAGTGGAACTGGTGTGACAATATTAAATAGAAAATTGATTTACACGAGAAGTAAATAGCTCACACAGCGAAATGGAAACCAATACCTGTTCTCAAATATACAGGGCTTGTTATTGCAGATGGCATGCCACTCATCACCTACATCTGGCTTGCCATTCATCCGATCCTTTTCCGGTGCATGAAACACTCTGCAGTTAATTAGGGATGGTATAATCATACTTTCGACTTTTTTTTTTTTTTGTATTTTAGTTCGCAATTAAAATAGTAGTTTTTAAAGCCAAATTGTGTTATAATATGTAAATGAAAGTTAACTAGCACTGATATGAGATTTAATTTTATGTCAGCAGGCGTGCTTTACCTAAACTTAGGTGTTTCATGTTAATGATTTGGGACTTTGGGTCTTTCTCTTCCATTTTCTTTTTAAAGTTAGCTACTTCCTGTTTCGGCTCATATTTCAAATCAGTTCAATTTCGTTTTATTCCTGTCATTAACGTATACATCAATTCTATACAAATTGGCTCTTTATGCTCTGATGTTCTCATCAATTTCAAGTTGGATTAAGTTTTTGATCTTGCAAGTATCATTCACCACTTTACCTTAACTGTTTGTCCACGTTTTTGTTCGGTATTCTTTTTTCAACATTTATGTTTAAATTCCAGTGATTTGATAGAAAAAATCCATTGCAGCTTTAAAGGGAATATACAACATTTGCAAACATCAACAAGCAAAACTACCAAATTATTATGAAATACATTGTACTAATTTGACTGTTAGTGAATGACAGTTTAAAGCATCCTGTAACATCATGGCACCTGTGCTATCATTTTCAAGAAAAGTGTTGTTTTTTTCTATTTCCAACGCTGGTCTGGCCGATTTCAAATATTGCTCCCAATTTCCCATATTTAGTTAGTCTGCATTTTGTTTGCAATCAATTACACACCTATGTCTATAAACTGGTCATCTTAAGGAACTACAGGAACATGATTGTTTTTCTTGATTTTCCCAGCATCTTCGAATTTAAAACTTCAAACATGTCAGTGTAAAAATAGCTACTATAAAATACCAACCCCAAATCCATCCATTTCTGAAAATTACAGCAAAACTCAATGTTGTATACAAAAATGTATTCCCTTTAAGGCTGAAAGTGTGTATCGTGAATTTATGTAGGAATAACATGATGATCATATTTTTTCAACGCAATACATTTTATATTTCCGGGATTAAAAAAGTGTACTTTTAGAATGTGAATTCCGATTTTTGTGAATGCTTTTGATGTCTGGTGTTAGTTGATTGTTGAAATAATTTACATTGTCTTCTACAATATTTGTTTGTCGCTTAACGTGGGAAGACGTAAACTACCATACACAGTCCTGAATTTCTACACGCCCGAGGACAATGCTTTGTGTTTCCCTTTGTCCCTGTAATATATAACAATCTCCCATAGACTAAGCACATAACCGTACGATCGAGGACCGTTTTCAACAAAAGACCCAATGCTGGAGGAATGAAAGGATCTTTTGTTCTCCCTTTGTGTGTCTGTCCTCTATCTCAATTTATAACACACACAAACATACACAAGTTCAATTCCCATAACAAATAAAATTTATTTACTATACAGTATCATTAATGCTTAACCCTAATATTCGAATTTCTAACAACACTCGTTTATGCACTCATTCAATTCCAATATATTTTTTTATATTTCTTGCGAGGGGATTTGGATTTTAACTTAAAAAAAAAAACAATTTTATTCATCAGACATCAATTAGACCATTTAAAATACTGTGTAGTATGTCTCATGCAGATCAACACAGGATAGTGACCAAGGCGTCCCCCGCACAAAAAAATGGCAATAATAAATAATCTCTTTTTTTCAGCCAGTGCATCAGTGAGGGTATACCAAAGCGAAGTACTAGTCGAGTGGCTAATGGGTGGAATTGTGATGAACTGGTCCAAAGTACCAAATGTTGCATACCCTATGGGCCATACAAAGCATGTTTAGAAGGGGCGACATCTAAAAATTGTTTCATAACCAAACACACGTCAACGATCGCTGCTGAATGCAATCGATCTATGAGCTCTGTAAAACCCGCATATTTAGCAGCAGCTGTTATTTTTCTTAACTGAGGTTTATGCGCAATTAAAATCAAAGACTTGGCTTTCGTATCATACATTAATGAACTACTATAAATTTTATTACATAGCGTGGAAGATACTGGTGTTATCACAAATTCTTCAATTAACTTTTCAAAATTGTGTACACTGTGTATATAAAACATCATAAAAGCAATGAGCTTCTTATCTTTGATGTCGCTTAAAACCAAGAATTCATCCAGAAGTTGAATTTTTGTTAAAGCAACTAATCGTATGCAACGGAAAATAACTTAATCTTGTCTAAATGATATGCCAGCAAAGATACTTTTGTTTTACATTAAGCACATTCATTAAACTATTAGCACCTTCACAACATGTACATTGTATTACATTGTATTCATTTACTGAATCGGTAATAACAATGTAAAGTGCTGTGATTTGAGTTAAAAGCGCTATGTTAGTACCTGTTATTATTAGGATCACTAACACCACAGACTGTTGTTGGTGTTTGGGGCGTTACTAGTCCCATCAATGTGTCTTAACCAGTTCACATCGGCATTACTTGACAAGAACAGAACAAGGCCTGCGATTACGTTTCACTCGACCTCAAGCCAGGCGGTTGAAGCCATCACCCTCGGGCAGCACACTCATATTTCCAGCCTCTCTCGCTGCGAGCGGGTTGCTGACAGATATTTCCAGCCTCGCTTGTTGCTTGTTACCGTCTAAATACCGCAAAACCTTTGCGTGTAAACACGTCATCCGATGCCAACTGGTTAAATACTGGACTCCTCCGTATTGTGAGCAAAACAGCGCTGCATGAAAAATTCCCAGAAAACTTGTTTATCCTGAATTTGAAATCTAGACTGTTTTTCCACTTGATATTCACTATGAATACCAGGTTCAAAAGCAGGAAAAATCAAATTCCTACCTCTAGAAGTCTAATTATCCTGTAAAAATCCTGCAGTTACTTTGGACAAACTTATTTTAAAATTTAGCCCGAAAATTTCCTATATGGCTTACAATACAGTGGACATCCAGTAGCTGAGGCACACTAATGAGACTAGGGTTTACCAATAGGCACGGCAGTGTGGGGCGATTCAAGGACTAAAATTAAATAAATCTTCTCTTATTATAAGTGTGTTTGATCATAAAATTCCCAATCTGAGAGGGTTTTCCATGTTCTTCTTAAACGACTGCAGGAACGTCGCCGCCAGCGCGTCGTCCACCACACGGCTGTCGCTGGACATCATGACGGTGGTCATCGCCTGTGGCTTTAGCGATTGGCTGAGAGTCATTCTGGCTGAGCCAATCGCGAGGATGCAGGCTTGGGGTGGGTTGATGACGGCGCTGAATTCGCTGATGCCAAACATGCCCAGATTGGAAATACTGGTTAAAAGTAAACAAACAAAGAAAAGGATTAAACTATGAATGCTCTAGACAGAGGCATCGTACATAAAAAACTCAAGAGGTTGCTAGATATGTCACGTGGCCTTCATGCAATGCATGCAATTTTGGAGCCTATGACATACATGTTGGCTATATTGCAACTCATACATATTGAACCAAACAGCTTCTTTCATTGGCAATGTTTCAAGGCACCCTACAAATGCGTACGCGCGACCAAAGTGCGATAGCCCAACCAGTAGACACATGTAGAACCAGGGAAATATTCCAAATATTAAAATGGAAGTATTCCAAATATTACAATAGTTATGATTGCATATGATGACATCGCTGGTAGTAAACCATACTTAAGTGAATGATTCCACCCACAACATGTCCAGAACTTGCCTGGATATGAAAAGAGATGGGCCCTATTACCTGAATGATCCACCTTGGAACTCATGCAGTTGCAGTTTGCCTTCTCTTGCCCTGGCTGCCAGATCCTACAAATGCACAAACAAAGAAGGAAGATGTAGTTATACAGAGTATGTGCAGTAAGTACTGCTGGGCGAGTACCTCGAGTACCCGAGTACTCGTGAGTAGTTTATGCTGCTCGTTGTTCTACTCGTGATTTGTCATCTGCTCGAGTACTCATCATGGCATGAGCAGAAGCAGATGCTCGCAAGTAGCAATTTTTTTAAGAGTACTGACTTCTTCACAACAAAAAAATGGCAAGGTGCAGAATGTGCTGTGACTTGCATGCAATTTGTTTGTTACTTTGGACAAATTCACATCACCATAACGTGTTAATGTCATAGTTCTGCTGTTGTGGGAATTCAGTTAACTACTCGTGAGTACTCGACTATTCGCAAGTACTTTATCTTCGAGTACTCAGTTGAAAAATCAACTACTCGCCCAGGCCTACAGCTAGGGGTATTTTATATCAGACAATGGAGTAATTGCAGAATACCCTGCCACTCGGAAATACACCCCTAAATTCTCTGGCTACGAGGTTGGAATCACTGCAAAAGAAACAATTCAAGTCCATGCCAGCTATGCGGATACTGAGTGGGGGTCCATTATTTGAGCACAAAGCAACACAAAAGGAATGGGAGTTGCTGAAAACAATTCTAAGTCCAAACCAACCACCCTGTTGGCGGCTACGCGGATACGGAGTGGGAGTCCCATTGAATATGCTTGAGAACGAAGCAACACAAAAGGAATGGGAGTTGCTGAACATTTTTTAAGTCCAAACCAACCACCCTGTTGGCGGCTACGCGGTTACGAAATGGGAGTGCAATGGAGCATGACGCATAGTACATACAAGTAGTGCTGAGAATGTTTATTGAGGTCAACCAACCGTGACCTCGTAGCCGGCTACGAGGTGGATAGTTCGAGTGGAGGGGTATTCTGCAATTGTGCCCAGACAATACATGACACTCATTAGGACTGGTAGCCTATTTTTGCTGAGTGTTTTAGACACGCATAGCCCAATATGGGATGCTTTGAGGATAATTCTTAAGTTATTCTAGATGCATAGTGCTCCAACGTTTTCATTGTTACCTTCACATTCTCCGAGATTTCAACCAGTCCTTTGCCGATGGCATTCTTGACGATAGGGGTGATTAGACCTTTGTCTGTTGCCACGGCAACTGATATGTCAATATCTGAGATTCTCTGAGCTTCTTTACCCGACCATGAGGCATTGACATCCGGTAGTTCCTGTCAATGAATGAGCAGCAAGATTTTAGTTCAGACTCTGCAAAATACATTCAACATTTGCTTTTGCCATCCACCAATTGCAATGTGATTTTTTTTTATCAAGTCGGTCACAAGTCTATAATAATTCCTCTTATTTTAAGTGAAGTAAAAGACTAGTCATGTATAACAAGGGGTCTATTTTATTTTTTGTTCGTCCCGTTACTCATGATATGACTTCTGATTGACTTAGAATTGACTTGCGACTGATTGTTGATAGACTATTCATAGACTTACGATTGACTTGTGATTGACTTGCGATTGACTTGCGATTGGATTGTGATTGAATTGTGATTGATTTGTGATTGACTTACGATTGACTTGTGATTGACTTGCGATTGACTTGCGATTGGATTGTGATTGAATTGTGATTGAATTGTGATTGATTTGTGATTGACTTACAATTGACTTGTGATTGACTTGCGATTGACTTGCGATTGGATTGTAATTGAATTGTGATTGAATTGTGATTGATTTGTGATTGACTTACAATTGACTTGTGATTGACTTGCGATTGACTTGCGATGGGATTGTTATTGACTTGCGATTGACACACGATTGGATTGTGATTGAATTGTGATTGATTTGTGATTAAACTGTGATTGAATTGTCATTGACTTGTGATGGACTTGTGATTAAGTTGTGATTGACTTTTGATTCATTTGTGATTGACTTGTGATTGATTTGTAATTGAATTGCGATTGACTTGTGATTGCCTTGTGATTGACTAGCGATTGATTTGTAATTGAATTGTGATTGAATTGTGATTGACTTGTGACTGTCTTGTGATTGCCTTGTGATTGACTTGGGACTGACTTGTGACTGACTTGTGAAATAGTTAACTGTACCTTGAGTGCCACAGCGGCTGCCTTGATAATGAAGTCATTGACAGACACTTTAATGCCTTCTTTCTTGAGATCTTTCCTTATGTTCATGATTCGGTCCATGTTGCAGTCAGTACTGGCATAGCTGTGCGGTGTAGTCCTCTTTAAAAAGAATACAGATTTATATGGAATAAATGACTTATATAGGCAAAAATAGAGTATGTATATATCGTGCAATAAACTCTCAATAAAGCACAATAAGAAATATGCAGAAGAAAATCACCTGAGGCTGGAGAACTAAAATAACGAGGTTACAAAATTATGAGGTTACAAAAGCAAATATGATTTTCTTACTTTTGATTCTGTCAATCTCTTAGCGATCACTTTTCTGATGTTGGTCAGTTCGATGTCTGTATAGGTGGCCTGTAATGGAATTATGGGATAAATTTAATGTCACATATCATGGAACTAACAAAAATTGGCAGATATACAGTATACATGTACAAATAAAACCAGAAATTTCATAAAAAGGAACACTGCCTGTACATGTACATGTACATGTACAAACCACTATCTGACTATAAGTTAAATATCTTAACGCAAATAAACAACATTTGCAAACATAAAAAAAAAAAAACTGCCAAATTATTATGAAATACCTTACTTGACTGTAAGTGAATAATAGTTTAAACATCCTGTGAAATCATGGTACCTCGTGTGCTGTCAGTTTCAAGAAAAGTGTAATTATATTTATTTCTAACGATGGTCGGCTGATTATCGTTGGAAAAAAAAATGACTTTTGTTCAATTACTGCCCCAAATGTACCTAATTTAGTTAGTGCACATTTTGTTTGCAATCGGTTACACATCCGTGATAGTTGCAAGCCAGCTAGAGTCTGGTCCCCCAACTTGACAATTCCCTGACGCCTATAAACTGCTCTGTTTTGTCTAAAGTAGGGTCGGGGAACCAGACTACAACAACATCATTTTTTCCTTGGTTTGTCCAGTATCTATGAACCCACAACTTCAAACAAGTCAGAATAACAATATTAGCTATATTCTTACCCCCCAAATCCATCCATTTCTGAAAATTACAGCAAAAGAAAATGTTGTATATTACCTTTAAAATATATGTAATTATTTTTAAGAAAAATACCTGTTGCTGAATGTCTGTAGTAGGTGGCACAAATGCTGGTGGAGGGGCTGTTGCCTGTGTTTGTGTCACGGGTAGTGGGGTGGGTTCTGGCACAGCTGCTTCAACGGTGGGATGTTTCTTCGCTCCGCCTTCCTGAATGAACTGAAGAACATCGCTGTAAGAAAGAAATACAGATGAGTACAAATAGGGTAAGTGATATACAAATTGTAGGAAAATTACTTTCTTGGGCAAATAGTGTAGTTACCAGAGTGTTTTGATCTCAAGAGTGTTGTTTTTGTCACTCCAAAATAACTTCTGCAACATTAAGCAGCATTGTTTAAAACTAATGACCCTATTTTTTGTAATTTGGAAATGTATCTTTTGTTGCAGAAAAAGCAATTGCTTACACATTTATCACTTGATGCAATGCCAATCAACACAGTTTTGCATATAACCTTAACTCTACAGGGTATTTTGGCTAGAAACCCTGCCAAATGCAGCAACATGCAACACTTTAAGTGACAAGCCTGCCCAGTGTAGCAAGATCCATCAGGTCAAATGTCTCAAGGCCAAACTGCCTCAGCGTCCGTGGTCACCAGATGCAGCAGGATACAACTGTGGCATTGTTCAATGGGACTTAGCTCTCATTTTCTCAGAAGCAGCCGTTTCTGCACTGGTGTTGGTAGCTGAATGCATCAAAGTGCACCAGACTTCTTCCACCTGATGCACTGTGCTGCGTCTGGCAGGGTTAGGATTAACGGTGCATCATCATCTTTACTTTCATGTTACGTTTTGTTGTCTTCATCATGGATTTACACCATAATTTCCCTAAAAAAATCAAAACCCTGTCTCTTTCCTTGAATTCCTGTTACGTAATTAACTACATGTAGATGCGGGAGTCCAATATTGAACCTACATGTAAAGGTGGTTTTTCCAGCTGTTGTAGGAAATTTCAAATGCCAGGAAGTACACAATCACAAGAAAGGGGCCGAGTTCTACAGTTTGTACACAATCATTATCTATTGGGGTTGACGTGTTGCTTTTAGATACTGTTTGGTTTGGCGTGACTGTGGATTGTCAGTGTGTAACATTGTATTACCCTTTGAGTAGCCGTCCGTGAGGTCCGCTAGGTGAGATGTCTGTAGCGCTGAGATGATGCGTGTCCAGGAGCTGTCTAACTGCCGGTGACAAAACACCGCTGTGAATAAGATTAGCAGAAAAACACTTTTGTACAAATAGAAAGCATGTTAGAAAGCATGGGCTACATGTGTATACAAGGTGTATCAAAAAAAAGTAGACTCTCCGAAAAGTACCCACCAAATTTACAATTGAACATTTTCATGAAATGTCTTCGTTTGCATATGTTGGTATGGACATCCTGCTTCGGTCCATACCAAAATTAATTGCATAATTTCATGCATGACTGAACACAGGCCCGTTTTCCGGTGGGCAATAAAATGTCCTTCCTCCAAAAAATTAAAGGGTTAAAATTGGATGAAAAGTCTTAAACTGTAATGCAAAATGGGGCCATCTCAAATCAAAAGTGTATGTGACACCACCACGTGACCTCAAGGACATTGAACAGCGAATCAGAGCCGAAGTGAACATCCTCCGGAGGGACAGAGGAATAATCAGGCGAGCAGTGCAGGACATGCGAAGGAGAGCGCAGGACTAAGTTGACGAAAAACAGGGTATTAAAATGATTAAATGTGACTTGCTCCTCAAAATGTCCTCTCCTAAGGATGAAGGTGGGTAGTGATCACTTGTAAACCACCGTGTGGCCCTCCGACTCATTCCCATACATCCATTGGCCCAGTGCAAAAAGCAGCAAACAAAGGGTTAATTTGAGTATCGCGGCGTAGAAAAACAAATATTCACATTTTGCATTACAGTTTAAGACTTTTCATCCAATTTTAACCCTTTAATTTTTTGGAGGAAGGACATTTTATTGCCCACCGGAAAACGGGCCTGTGTTCAGTCATGCATGAAATTATGCAATTAATTTTGGTATGGACCGAAGCAGGATGTCCATACCAACATATGCAAACGAAGACATTTCATGAAAATGTTCAATTGTAAATTTGGTGGGTACTTTTCGGAGAGTCTACTTTTTTTTGATACACCCTGTATATCGTTTTGTCCTGCAACAAGGATATCTCCTAAAATGGGCCGTACGTGAAACACGAGTTTCAGAATATCAAAAGGTCGTATCTCACTTAAAATACTTTGGATGTACATCCAAAGTCAGTGGACATCAAGATACGACCTTGTTGCATGAAGCATATTTGCACGAGATACGACTTTGCTGCAGAATGGAGTTACGACCTTGTTGCACTGATGCGACGATATGTACCATCCGTGCTCTTTTTATTGTCAAAAAAAAATCATTAGATTTCTCATTCTAAAGTAAATAATATAATATGCTAAAAAAATTAAAATGTGAAAATAGAAAATTTAATTTTTTTCAGGGTGAAAGTCGAAAACAGTATGAACGGTACATCTTTAACATGTCCACTACAAAGTTGGGGGGCAGCTCAGAAGTCATAAGTCAGGCTAAACTAGGCAATACATATTATTATACATGTACCTCATACATATTCATGATCAAGGGCACCATCACGTGCCAGATGCTATTTTTGCTGTTTACAAAGTCCGCGCGCGAGGATTCACGCACAGGGCAAATACGCATGCGTAGTAGACTGTCTTACCCATGCGACAGTCTACTACGCATGGGCTTTACGAAGCAATCGTGGAACTGTCACCAGGGTGTAGTATGCACACGCGAACATCGCCTGAGCGAGCTAAACATGAAAGGGATGGTTGCACACGAAAATGTTATTTTTCCTGAACTCAATGATGCCGAACTAGAGAATATTTATGGATAATAAAGATGCCGCCTGTACAAAAACAGTTGTCCAAAACAAACCAACTGAACTAGTGATCTTGAGCAATATTATTCTTTTGGTGAGCTGCACAAGTTTCTCCGAAGATTAAGGTGCATACTGCAGAGAAAAAAAATCGGCAATTGAATATGTACGAGGTATAGCAAAACAAGTTTGAGTCCTGGCGGGGTCATGGTGAGTGTGCCCTTGGGCACGGCATTTCGTCACTCATTGCTTCTCTCCACCCAGGAGTAAATGGGTACCTATGAGGGCAGTGATGGTTATTGTGATTGAATTAGCTTCCTTGCGCCTAACAGGCAGCATCAAGCTGTATACTCCCCAGGGAGCTGAGATGATATATGGAATGTTTAATTGGCCCAATAATCAGGGGTAATAATAATGTAAAGCGCTTTGATCTTAGTTAAAAGCGCTATATAAGAACCTGTTGTTATTATTAGTCCAAAAAAAGAATAGTTCTGCTTCCGGTTACCCGACCGACCCTATTTTTAGGCTGCGACCCTAAAAATTTTATCGGCAATTCCAAAAAAAAAAAAAAAAAAAAAAATAAATAAATAAAAATAAAAACCTTATGTCTTGTCTGTCTTCACAAAATACCTCTCAACAACCCTTTTGCATCAAAAAATGCTTGTATTTATTGTTTTCTTACTTACATTCGCTATTTTTTCAAAAGAAACCTCCGTTATTTTTACAAATTCGCTGCGCGATTCAACTACTTCGCAATTCGATGTCTATAATCACGTGCGTAATAAGCGCAATGCGGCGACGACTGGTTCCCGCCGCGCCGCGCAGGAGCCAATTATGAAAATGCGGTAACTAGTCTGTGCACGACTATGCGATGTTAGCGCTAGCATGGCTATGCAGGCGCAGGCACGTGCTGTCAACTGGTCGGAATCGACATCGTAAAAATGCTGAGAAAGACATCGTAAAAATGCCAAGAAAACACCGATGGAGAAAGAACATTTTTGCAAGTTAATTCACAGATTTGATCTAGCTTGTCTGTGTATGTGTTTTCCGTGTTCAAGAGTTCATTTTGAGATCGCACTACTCGTATTTGGAGTGATACAATGCAGCGTGTTTCCTGAAATGTTCGACCCGTTGGCCGCGGGCCACACATGTACAAATGTACATGTACAGTGCATCACACACTTCGGAGTTTTGGCCAGCTCCCGTTCTTGACTAGCGTTGTGCCTATGGTGCGAACGACCTGAATTTCCCACAATTTTTTTTACGAATTATCGAACTTAAATATATTGACAATAATTAAGGTAGGTTTTATTCACTTTTTGTGGCCATTTTGTGTATAGCTTTCGTAGTGCAATAGAAATAGTTCAGGCTAAAACTTCGCATATAATTGAATACCCCATTCAATCTGCATAAAAAAAATTGGCAAAAAAAAAAAAAATTCCGACCGACCGACCCTATTTTTGAAAGATATGTAATCGGAAGCAGAACTATTTTTTTTTTTGGCCTTATTATTGTTATTATAACATGGTTTATTTCGGGTGGACAGTCGATATTAGCTCCCCTCGGTATTGGAAGTTGACAAACTACATGTAGTTCCCTCGGCTTCGCCTCAGGAACTAGTTTGTCAACTTCCAATACCTCGGGGAGGGAATATCGACTGTTATATTTGTAAACTGTTCCTCCCAGAGTTAATAAATGCACCATCAGGCAACATGGTGTTTAGTTTATCAAGATTAAACATTACTTTATTTCTCAGGTTATTTTAAAAATGTGTTTTAGGTACCTGTCCTTCCCCACTGCATGTCGCATGCTTGAAAACTGTGTTGTATCAGATACACCCTGGATTTGCCCATCAGAAACCACATCTGCTGCTGGTGGGGATGGTGCAGCAGCATCCGCTGGTATTTCAACAGCCTTGTAATCCTCCCCCTCTGGTACAAGCAGGGCAATCAAAGAGCTGATCTTTACCCCGGATGTGCCTTCTGGGACCTGGAAAGAAGACAATGGTTTGTAAAATTACTTCTTTTGAACTCCCTATTACTTCCAATGAACTGCGGAAACGAACAAGAGAGAGCGCTTTTTCCCACTTTCGAGAGCCCCATGGATAGGACACAGAGCGTGCGCATACTGATCGCGTGGATAAAGCGCGAAGTACGCATAACTTATTTTATTCCGAATGTGCGAATAGCCATAGCTTCTTCATGTGAGCGTCAGACGTCATGGGCAGCGCATTCGAATGTTTCTCCTAGTGGTTTCCTCAACTCTCCCTTTCTTGCCGGTGAGGGGGTACTTGTGCACGGAGCCCTTCTCCTGCTTTATGTAGGCTGGGAATTAAGTCTTATGGGTTGAAAACAGTCACTTGATTGATTTTGACTACAAAGACAACTTGGCACAGAATGTATGTTTGCATGGCAGGGTTAAGCTTTACCAGGCTCGTCTTGTACTGCTTTTATGTAGTGTTTTATAATATGGATTTTTTTAGGGCAAAACCTAATTTGATTCATGTGTGTTTTCTTCTTTTTTCTTTCTTCTTTTTTCTTCCTTTTCTGGTAGCCATGGGAGTTTTGGGATAACTTTGATAATTTTTGTTTAAGTCAGCTAGTACCAAATATAACTATCAAAAAGTGGTGTCTTCTGCAATTGACAATTTCCCCAAACTTAAAACAAAAAATAAAGCAGCTCCACCCTGACAGAAAGGATTCTAAAGCAACTACAAGAATTTTCTCACCCAGAATGACAAACCTAGAGAGAACCGCCATGCATAACTCACCAGTATCTTGGCAAGCACTGCGTCATCATCTGCATCCAGTGTTAGAGTTGCTTTGTCTGTTTCTATCTCACACAACGCATCCCCAGCTGATATCGCATCACCTAGAAACAAAATTATAGCAATCATTGATACTTCACTCGTTTCACTCACAAGAATTCTTAAAAGTTATGGCAATTGTACATGACATGTACATTTATGTGTAAAAGTGAGTAAAGTCTGTCATGAGCCAATATGGCCCATCAGGCTGACGTTTATCCCTGGTTCCAGAAACAACTGAGAATATTTCTATTCTCCTGGATGGGATGCTACTCCATCGCAGGTTACTCCCCAGCTAATGCCAGTACCATTTGTACCCTTGGTGGAGAGGGGCAAGTTGTGGTGAGGTGGCTTGCCCAAGGACACAACACATGGCCAGCAGCTGGATTCGAACCCCTGACCCTCCGATCTTGAGTCGCGAAACCTAACCACTAGGCCACACTCCCCACACAATTTGCGGAAATTAATTGGGTTTGGAGAAATACTCTATTTTTCAAGACACATTGTTTGTCATCAATTTGAAATGACTTTGGCTAAACTCTATTTCAAGTTTTTAAAGAAATTAAAGGATGACCTTTTGGGTGATGTTAAACATTTCTAGAACAACTTTAATAGTGGCTACAGCGCTTGACCACAGCACAATGACATCAGTGGCAAAGACAAAGTTGAAGCCAAATATCCGTTTTGGACACAAGTCTTCAATACCGATTCAGTTCATACCTTCCTGTTTGAGCCATTTAAGAATTGTTCCTTCCTCCATGGTAGGTGATAGCGCAGGCATCAGCAGCTTAGTTCCTTCGACTCCTGAGAATCATTTAAGAAATGTCATGAGTAAGTGAATTCCTCTAGAACAGGGCTGGAATTTCTTTCGACTCAATTTTATAGACAGTGTAGAGCTGTCGCCCTTGAGCATGAAAAGAGGGTGCATTTTTACCACTTTTGAGAGCTCCAGTGCAGTTGGGGGGGGGGGGGGACACACTGTGTGTGCATTAATGCTAATGGTTCACGCGTATACATGTAGCATGTATAGCGCGAAGTACTTCTGAAATCAGAAGGCTTCTCTCCGTCAACCCTCTGAGAGACTTAATAATATCCAATTTTCCGAGAGGCTTAATAATATCCAATTTTCCGAGAAATTTTTGAAACTTTGTGGAGCCCATATGCTGATGGTAGCCATTTTGAATGTACGAAGCGATGACCCCAAAGCTGTGACGTCGCGCTTATGCTGCTAATATTTGGAATCGCACACTTGATCTGGACATGAGGAGTGCCGGGAGCGTCAGTGCGATGCAAAATTATCCGCAGCATTTATCACGTGGCCTCGTGATTGGCCCGTCTGCTGATGCCGCGACCGTCCGCGATCAGCGCGCGAGTTGCGATGCTACGGCTGCTTCTTATACAATTGATTGTGCGCTATAATACTATCAGTTGATAGATTGTACAAGAAACAGCCGTCACATCGCAACTCGCGTGCCTGTTGCGTTGAGCGACGAGACAATTTGCATAAGCGCGACGTCACAGCTTGGGGTCATCGCTTCGTACATTCGGAAAGATTTCCATATGAAGTTCACTCAACACCCTGTGTACAAACCCTATGAGATTGGACTAAAAAATTCTAAGCGTTTTCTAAGAAAATGCTTGTATTTTCTCACTGCTTAAATTGACTTGATGACATGAAATTGCTATCTGGGGGCTTGTTAGTCAATACAGAGGAAAATTAGTGAACTTCGTATATATATGGAAATCTTTCCGAAAATTGGACATTATTAATTATACCTAAGCATCCCAGAAGTGAAAGCTGAGACAGCATAAAATACAATTAAATAAAAATTATTTTAAAACTTGCTTTTTAACGTGAAATGTACGTTGGCCGCCATCTTGTTTATGTGTAGCGAGCCGTACTACGCATGCGTGAAGTGTACAGAGCCATACTACGGTCTACGCATGCGTGAAGTTAGCCCCATAAATGTGGCCTATTTACTGGACTGCCTCCGTAAACATAGGCCACACATTCACATGTACATGATGTACAGTAACGTGTCGACTTTGCCAAATTTTGATTTTCACATTTAGGCTTACTTTGTAGATTTTTTTTTGCTTTAGAAGCATTCTCACCCTCTACATGTATAATCAGAAAGTGCTGCCTTTTTCAGATGTTTAATTTTTGTGAAATTTCATGTTGAAATTTTGATACGCAAATGTGTGCAAATGTATCTGGAAATTCCACGAAAAATGGACAGCTGAAAAAGGCAGCACTTTCTGATTAGCCTATATAGAGGGTGAGAATGCTTCTAAAGCAAAAAAAAACGTAAAAAGTAAGCCTAAATGTGAAAATCAAAATTTGGCAAAGTCGACACGTTTTTTGTACATGTGGATGTGTGGCCTATGTTTACGGAGGCAGTCCAGTAAATAGGCCACATTTATGGGGCTAGCGCGAAGTCTACAGCGCCATCCAAACAAGATGGCGGCCAACTTTATTCTACAAATTCGTCATACATTTCGCATTCAAAAAACCAAGTTTTAAAATAATTTTAACTTTAATTGATTATACAGAAGATGTTCTTTATTGCCTTTTCAACCATATAAAGCTGTTTTTAAATCAAAAGCCTATACAAAATTTGTTGACGCTTGATGACGATCGTTGAGGCTGGTTGACACTTGTTGACGCTTGTGATGCTTGATGACGTACTCCTAGAACTATGAGGCTCCGCGTGAGCGGAGCCTCATAGATCAAGAAGCCCGCAAAATTGCCTGCAGCACAAAACACTAATAAAGTACAAAAACGTCCATCAAAATGCAGACATTTCACACAGAACCGCTGCACAGTTTGCCCCTATACTCCGTACTTTATCTCTTGACATACTCACGTATCTTGTGCAGAACTAACATAGTTAGGGGGGTACGGTACAAGCGAAATGATGTGCATGCGTACAAGAGTGCATGTACCGTACCCCCCGCGGCGCGCTCCGAGCGAACCGAAAATCATCGCTCGATCATAATGCGTGCACGTTTCAAGTGTCAGGTTGGCTCAATGCGGAAAGGGCATACTTTTCATCATTTTGGCCTAAAAACCGACAGAATCCACCTATGTTAGTTCCGCACAAGATACGTGAGTATGTCAAGAGATAAAGTACGGAGTATAGGGGCAAACTGTGCAGCGGTTCTGTGTGAAATGGCTGCATTTTGATGGACGTTTTTGTACTTTATTAGTGTTTTGTGCTGCAGGCAATTTTGCGGGCTTCTTGATCTATGAGGCTCCGCTCACGCGGAGCCTCATAGTTCTAGGAGTATTGATGACGCGCTTTAGTAGGACCCGCATTTACATGTTTAGGGAAGCATGGCGCGTCTGGCCGTACTACAGAGCTTGCGATAGTACTGTACGGCCAGACGCAGTCGGGCTACCCCTAGCCCCCCCCCCCCCCTACAATGTACATCCGCACCTGCAATTCTACCTTTCCTACCGTTGAGGGGGTCCAACCCGTTATTAACGTTACATGTCCGGATATTGGGCTCAATGTATGACCACAAACTATCCCATTTTGTTTCAAATACACCGAATAAAAATCTTCCAAACCTGACAAGAAGTTGCTCCTGGTGATGTTCCGTACAGCACACCATCTTGGAGTAGGTTTACTCAGCTGCATTAAAGGACGCATTGATTTTAAAATTAATCGAGAGGATGCGGCAAATCCCATGGAAGCCGCCATTTTGAATTAGATTCCGAGTTTTCGATTCTTGATTTTATGAAGATTTGATTACTAGTCCGAAAAAGTTGCTACAGATGAATGTTCTCTATGCGAAACAAAGTATCGATTCTTTAAATATCATGACAAGCTTTCGATATTGAGCGATTCTAACCTCGTCATTTACGGGCAAAAGTGGGAGTTTTTGGGGGGATTCTACCTTGCTATGCTAGCCTACAAATGTACTTTTAGGCTAGTAGTAACCTAGTAAGGCGTAGGCCTAGTACAAGTTTTACATTTAGTTGAATCCCAGAACATCGTGTTCAGTTTACAGTATCATAGACAGTGCCGTAATTGAGAGAACGTCGCACTCGTAGTCAGTGGAACAAAGAAGCAAGAACTTGAACTTGAAGAAGAACATGGATCCAAAATATGAAAAGGCAAGTTGCATAGCCATAGGCAATGATTGATAGGCCTACATTCATGACATTATAAATAAAAATATTATTTTAAAGGGAATATACAACATTTGCAAACATCGAAAAATAAAACTTCCAAGTTTTTGCGAAATACCTTAATAGGATGTTGGTAAATGACAGTCTAAAGCATCCTGTAAAATTATGGCACCTGGTATACTGTCATTTTCAAGAAAAGTGGTATTTTTGTATCAATTTCCAACGCTGATCGGCCGATCAGCGTTGGAAACAACTGGCTTTTTTTTCAAATACTGGCCCCAATTGACCATTGTACTTGTTTGCAATCGATTACAAACCTATGAACGGGTACGAGCCAGCTAGACTGGTTCCCTGACCTTACAATTCCCCAAAATATGTAAACTGCTCTGTTTCTTCTTATATGGAGTCAGGGAACCAGACTACAGGAAAATGATCGTTTTTCTTGGTTTTTATAGCATTTTCGAACCCAAAACCTTCAAAAAGTCAGTGTAACTATATTTGCTTTATATTTCCAACCCCCCAATTCCATCCATTTCTGAAAATTACAGCAAAAGCAAATGATGTATATTCCCTTTAAGTACGATTTGGGGCTTTGCATGGTGGAGATACTAAATAATGAAAGGTTTGCGGAAACACCATGTGCGAATAATTTCTCAACTACATGTAGTTGAGAAATTATTCGCACATGGTGTTTCCGCAAACCTTTCATTATTTAATATTAATATTTTATTTATCATGTTAATTGTTAATGTTGTTGTTAATGCTAATCATGTTAGGCAGTGTGATGTGGCTGGGTTTATTCTGGCATGTGATTGGTCCTACAAACCGACAAAGGGCGTCCAACATGTCTAATAAATACAGGTTTCTTATGCATGACTCCTACTCCTAGAACTATGAGGCTCCGCGTGAGCGGAGCCTCATAGATGTAGAAGCCCGCAAAATTGTCTGCAGCACAAAACACTAATAAAGTACAAAAACGTCCATCAAAATTGCAGACATTTCACACAGAACCGCTGCACAGTTTGCCCCTATACTCCATACTTTACCTCTTGACATACTCACGTATCTGGGGCACAACTAACATAGGTGGATTCTGTCGTTTTTTGGCCAAAATGATGAAAAATATGCCCTTTCTGCACTGAGCCAACCGAACACTTGAAACGTGCACGCATATGATCGAGCGAAGATTTTCGGTTCGCTCGGAGCGCGCCGCGGGGGGTACGGTACATGCACTTGTACGCATGCACATACTATCATTCGCCTGTACCGTACCCCCCGCGGCGCGCTCCGAGCGAACCGAAAATCATCGCTCGATCATATGCGTGCACGTTTCAAGTGTTCGGTTGGCTCAGTGCGGAAAGGGCATATTTTTCATCATTTTGGCCTAAAAACCGACAGAATCCACCTATGTTAGTTGTGCCCAAGATACGTGAGTATGTCAAGAGGTAAAATACGGAGAATAGGGGCAAACTGTGCAGCGGTTCTGTGTGAAATGTCTGCATTTTGATGGACGTTTTTGTACTTTATTAGTGTTTTGTGCTGCAGACAATTTTGCGGGCTTCTACATCTATGAGGCTCCGCTCACGCGGAGCCTCATAGTTCTAGGAGTACATGATGATGTATGTACATGTATGAACTGGTTCCCTACTTCCCAGTATGTTAATGTCTGTTCAAGTGAAATCTTGAGATATGCAAAGTCCTGTTGTGAGGCAGACATAGATTTTTACATGTTTACCTGAAATATGGCTTTTTGCAAATGACTCTTTTTGTGTGTGTGTAAATTCACTTATATTTCAATGACTTCTTTGTTTGGTACAGGAACATCCTAGAAATCTGATTCCTGAGTTGTTGAGGCAGTTCTATCATCTTGGCTGGATGACGGGGACAGGGGGAAGCATGAGCATAAAGAAGGGGTACGTATTCCCAATTGCAAGAGTGCATTCACCCTCATGATGTACAGTACATTAACCCTAACATTCCCAATCCTGCAAAATCCTCTTTGCAACATGGAAGATTTTGCAGGATTGAGGCTACATATACATGTATGGCCAATATGTCACTGTGTGGCTGATTTTGAAGGATGCATTAATTGTGTAAAGGTCTTGGGCTGGACCTTGTGTTGTTTACATGTATGTGCAGCCGTGCACAAAGTTAGGCCTGGATTATGTTTGAAATTCTCTGCACTGCTCCAGGATGCCTCCACATATTGACAGTGGTTGCTGGAGGATTTTGCAGGAGTGAGGCAGTGGTCACCTCTCCAAGGACCACATTCAAGAAATAACAGAGATTTTGTTGCTGGATTCAGGCAGGACAATTTTGCAGGATTGAGGTTGCATCCTGGCAAAAATGCCTGGTTGAACATGTTGAAGGCACATTCATGTACAATGTACATGTGGGAACATTTTACCAGGAAAAGTAATGGATCTACCAAATTTAATGAAAAAAAAGAAAAACTTGCTTAAAACGAAGACAGAGATGCCAATCAAACATCCTACGACACTGTTCCAACTTGAAACGTTAAAGTTAAGAAGAAACAACAGTTTGAGGTTGTTTAAACAATTAGCTTGCCCATGGGCACACTTTTTAACATGCGTAATGAAACCCCTCCTTCTCAAGCCAAATAAAAACAAATGTGTTCTATTTTCTCCGAATTCATCAAATGTTTGTTTCATAGATGAATGCAATCTACAATTTGGGGGGATTTTGGAGGATTGAGGATGTACGGTACATGTATGGGGTTGAAGCACATTTGTAGGTTTGAGGATGAACATGATGAATGGGATTTAAAAACATAAAGAGGATTTTGGTTGATTGAGGATGAATGATTAAAAAGAAGAGGATTTTGGAGCATGGGCGTCGCCAGGATTTTTTCTAGAGGGGGACAACATTTTTTTTGACCAAAAAATGCCTGTATTTCTCAACACATTCTCGATTTATCAGTTTTAGAGAGGGCAGGGACATTTGCCCCCCCCCCCCCCTTCCCAACCCATCAAATTTACACCACTATGTCTTCATGTCTCTTTTTCTTTTCTTTTGCTCTTTTTTTTTTCTTCCTTTTTTTTTTTTTTTGCTTTTCCAGGGGGCCCCCCCTTGCCCCCCCCCCCTCGCGACGTCCATGTTTTGGAAGATTGAGGATGAATGCATTTTGAGTGGCAGGGCTGTTACAGGACTTTGAAAGATTTCCATATACGAAGTTCACTCAACACCCTGTGTTCAAACCCTATGAGATTGGACTGAAAAATTCTAAGTGTTTTCTAAGAAAATGCTTGTATTTTCTCACTGCTCAAATTGACTTTGATGACATGAAACTGCTACATTTGTATCTGGGGGCTTGTTAGTGAACATGGTGAATACAGAGGAAAATTAGTGAACTTCGTATGGAAATCTTTCCACGGGTTGAAGCAGTGCGTGTCTTTCATTTGAACAAAAGTGCAAAACTAAACTTTGAAGGATTTTGAAGGATTGAGGATGGTTCGTAGCAAATAGGTCATACATGTAGGGGGTTTTACGATCGGGGTAAATTGTAAGTAGAGTATGTACCGGTACATGTAGGTGGCCATTGTAGATCAGTCTGGTTTTGCGTGTCTCTACTCTTTGAGTGATGGTGAATACAGTACAGACTGGATAATTACAGGTACCGGTACATGGACGGAGCCCATTTGGAAAATAAGATTAAGATACACATGTACATGTATGTCTATGCATAATGACTTCTGTGTGGTTCCCTCATATTACAGCCATGAGATCTACATAGCGCCCTCAGGTGTCCACAAGGAGAGAGTTCAGGTAGGCCAGAAAAGTAAATTGAGTGAATTTATTTTGTCTGATGATGGAAACATCACACATTCATTTCTCAATATTGCAATGAAACAGTCCTAATCTGATATTTTAGTTAATGATCAAACATTCCGATATTTCGCACAACCAAAGATTTAGATTTTGCAGCCCCTGGTAAGTGGGCTGAATTCAAGCTACATGTAGTAGTGGGATTTAAATCCAGAGTTTTCCCAAAATTTGGTGTGAATTCCACTAAGTGGTTTGATTTCGGAAACCGGATATTCGAAACCACATTAAAAAAATGGAGCCTCCCTTTTTTTTGTTTGATACAGGCTAAAGAAAACAACCGCAATATCCCTTAATTTGCTCCATGGACTCTGATTGTGCATTCACTTGATATATGAATAGCCTGCCCATTCTACTTTTCAAAAGGTCACACCCATTTTTCAACATTACAGCTCTGGAGTGTTTTTGTAAAGGCCAAGTCTTGCATCCTGCAAACTATTCCAAGTCATTTGGAAGGCATTGCATGCAGCATTCGTAGCTATTGTTGGCATGACTGTGAGCTGGATTGGAACTTTCCGTGAAATCAGATAACAGTTCGGTTTGAAAAAAAAAAATCAGGATAATCAGATTATGAAATCACTGAATTCTCCCACGGCTAATTAAAGGGAATATACAACATTTGCAAACATCAAAAAATAAAACTACCAAGTTTTTACGAAATACCTTACTAGGATGTTGGTAAATGACAGTCTCAAGCATCTTGTAAACTTATGGCACCTGGTGTGACGTCATTTTCACGAAAATGGTATTTTTGTATACATTTCCAACGGCGGTCGGCCGACCAGCGTTGGAAAAACCTAACTATTTTTCAACTTCTGCTCAAAATTTACCGTTTTTTCAGTCCAATTTTTTTTTGCTTTTGGTTACATGTTCATGAACGGGTGCAGGTCATCTAGACTGGTTCCCTTGCCTTACAATTTTCCATCATCTATAAATTGATCCATTTTATTTTTTGTGGAGTCAGGAAACCAGACTACTTGAACATTTTTGTTGTTCTTGGTTTTTCCAACCTTTTCGAACACAAAACTTCAAAAATGTCACTAGTGTAACAATATTTGATCTATTATACATGGGCAATTCTCCATGGGAGAGCAAAAAATGTCAAAAATAAATATTTACATATTAAACTTTTTTTGTACTTTTTCCAGACCTCAATTAAATGGGGAATTCAGTTCAAAAAACGAAATTGAAAAAAAATACATATTTCTGGTAAAAACAGTGATTTTTGCAGTTTATGATTAAAAACGTTCAGATTTGGTAAAAAAATAAAATTTTGTGAATGTATTACTTTCTGAATTATAGGGAAAAGATTTGATTTATTTTATGATGTTACAAGTTACTAACATTACTCAGGGTCATTAAAAAAATTTTAAAATATAAATATATATATATATATATAGTGTAGGCCTTCATTTAAAAATGTCAAAATTAGCACGTAATTCCGTTACCGAAAAAATGGCAAAAGTTACTTATTTCACAAATTTTCTTGTTTTTTTTCTTCAAATCATGTATGTTGAGAAAAGACCCTACTACAAACATAAATGAAAAATAAAAACTTTAAAATAGTAATTTCTTGGCATTTTTCCAAGTGGTAACGGAATTACGAAACGGTAACGGAATTACGGTAACGGAATTACGCATGCACAAAGTATGCACATTTCCTCCAGATTATGTACATGACATATTAAAGGGAATATACATCATTTGCTTTTGCTGTAATTTTCAGAAATGGATGGAATTGGGGGGTTGGAAATATAAAGCAAATATAGTTACACTGACTTTTTGGAGGTTTTGGGTTCGAAAATGCTATAAAAACCAAGAAAAACGATCATTTTCCTGTAGTCTGGTTCCCTGACTCCATATAAGAAGAAACAGAGCAGTTTACATACATTGGGGAATTGTAAGGTCAGGGAACCAGTCTAGCTGGCTCGTACCCGTTCATAGGTTTGTAATCGATTGCAAACAAGTACAATGGTCAATTGGGGCCAGTATTTGAAAAAAAGCCAGTTGTTTCCAACGCTGATCGGCCGATCAGCGTTGGAAATTGATACAAAAATACCACTTTTCTTGAAAATGACAGTATACCAGGTGCCATAATTTTACAGGATGCTTTAGACTGTCATTTACCAACATCCTATTAAGGTATTTCGCAAAAACTTGGTAGTTTTATTTTTCGATGTTTGCAAATGTTGTATATTCCCTTTAAATAGGAGATTTGCATGTAACCTTGGACAATAACTTTAAATACTAAATTACTTGTTAAATCATTTCCCTCTTTAATTTGCTATTATACAATTAAAAATAATCAGGTGTTCCATTGATATTTTTTACTTTTACTTTTTCTTTTTTACTATTTAAAAAATGCTAATAGTTGTTTGGATGCTTAAAGGGAATATATACAACATTTGCAAACATCAGAAAATAAAACTACCAAGTTTTTACGAAATACCTTACTAGGATGTTGGTAAATGACAGTCTTAAGCATCCTGTAAAATTATGGCACCTGGTATGAAGTAAGTTTCAAGAAAATGATATTTTTGTATACATTTCCAACAGTGGTCGGCCGACCACCGTTGGAAAAACCTAACTATTTTTCAACTACTGCTCCAACTTTACACTCTTTCCAGTCCAAATTTTGTTTGCTACCGGGTATTTGTTACATGTTCATGAACGGGTGCAGGCCAGCTAGTCTGGTTCCCTTACCCTCCAATTTTCAGGCATTTATAAATTGACCAATTTTACCTTTAGTGGAGTCAAGGAACCAGACTACTTGAACAGTTTTGTTTTTCTTGATTTTTCCAGCATTTTCGAACACAAAACTTCAAACATGTCAGTGTAACAATATTTGATCTATTATACTAACCCCTCAAATAGTTCACTTCTGAAAATTACAGCACAAGCCAATGATGTACATTCCCTTTAAATACATGTTGCCAAAGCCATTGTCTGGTACCCACAGAAAATATATTTGACAACAAGTATATGAAAGTTGAGTACCAGACTGTACTTGTACTTCTACATGTTCTACTTGGCATAACTTAACATCTTCCCATGCTCAGAGATGCCAACCAGTGCAGTTTTATTGTATTTTCCACGATAAACTAGTGAAATACGATAATACAAATGTTCATAGTAAAATTCGATTTTCGGTAAAAAAAATATACATTGCTAACAGGCAATGCAGCCATCACCAGACTGCTTTCATTTGACCTTGACCTTTGACCTAAAAAATGAAGCCCAGACATGTTCAGGCCTACATTTACATTTTGATCTGCTAGTTTTCACTTAGCTTTCCCCTTGTGGCATTTTATAAACTTCTAAAATTTGTATTGTGATGAGTTTATGTTGAATTCAATGTTAATGTATTGCATTTACCTATTACATGTAAACCTATGGCGTAATTCCGTTACCGCCCAGGCGTAATTCCGTTACCGTGATTAAAATGCAAATTATGAAAAGAGTGATTATTTTTTCAACTTTGTTCTGCATTGTAGTTAACAACACCCCTGAACTCTACAAATAACAGGTAGTGTCCAATTTTAAAATTTCCAAACTTCAGAGAGTTTTATTAATTTATGCGAGAACTCAAATATGCTTGTCCTCTGTCCGTAATTCCGTTACCGATATTAAGCTCCGCCCCTTAAAGGGAAATCTTGTGGGATTTTTTTTTTTTTAGCGGTCAATCAATTCTACTGGGTCTTGGCTCCCTTTCCATGTTTAGATTAGTTGCCTAGCATTGAACATATTTTCTTGGGAAAGAATAATCCTTGACAAAGTGACAAAATTCCGTAATTCCGTTACCAAAGAATTGCCCACATGTACTAACCCCTCAAATACTTTATTTCTGAAAATTACAGCAAAAGCCAATGATGTACTTTCCCTTTAAGCCCTAATCCTAACCACCATGAATCCATCATAATCCATTACCCTGTTTTGGAGTGTTTCGGTGGATTCAGGATACCTCCATATTGAAAACGGGCGTTTTAATGGATAGAGGATTGTAAGCATAGCAGCACTGCAGGATGTTGATGGATTCAGGATACCTCAATACTGAGCAGTCACCAACACCCACAATTTTGTGCATGACACCATAGGTGGATTTTGGCAGATTCAGGATCCTTCTTAGTAAAGAAGCCCAAGGTTAAAGTAATGCATGGGTTTGAGATGTGTTTAGAATTATTCAGGTAGATGCGCCAATGTTCCCAAGACTTGATTGAGTCATCTTGAAGACCAGCACCCTGTGCTACTGCCAAGTGCTGTAGCTTCACCATGCTTTTAAGCGATCAAATCTGGGTGAATTTGGGGTACAAGAAATAAATCCAGTCTTGCGACAAGACTACACTTCTAAGGCATTCACTCTCCATCCTTTAAAACTGAATCAAAAGCATGTAATTGAATTTATGAGGATTGAGGAGGGTTATGTTTGATTTTGTTATCATTTCATATTTTGGTTTTTTTTGTTGATAGCCAGAAGATCTGTTTGTTATCACCGTAGATGAAGAAGATCTCGACGGCCCATCACCGGAGAAAAAGTTGAAAAAGAGCGATTGTACCCCACTGTTCATGAATGCTCACACTACTAGAAGTAAGTCCTTAACTTGTTTTCGTGCCATCAAAAGATTAGTTAATTAATTCCAAAATTATCAATTTCTGGCTTGTGAAAAATTGTTTGTTCATATCTTGTGTCTGTGTATCACAATTAATTACTGATTTATAAGGGAATGATTGTGTGCTTGGCTGCTTTTAAACACTATGTTTAAAGACATAGTCCATCATTTGTAATTTGTGCATTTTGTTCGTTTGAAGCAACAAAAGTATTCAAAATCTAAGGATACTGAACAACTAACCTGATGAAGTTTCAGCTCAGCTTCAGCTGTATATTCCGAGAAAAACGGCATTCGAGGATCTCAATTTCAAATCAAAAGTTGCTTAATCGTGTTTTGAATTGTTTTGAATTGCAGCTTTACGCGATGTTGCGCACTGATCCGACGAATTATAGCAGGTGCACGTGCGTCGTGCCAATGCTTGCGCGCGCTGCGCCGAATATGTAACAAAACGAACTACTAATTTTAATTTTCCTACGGGGCTTCTTAAGACGCACCGTTGGAAATGCCTTCTTTTGTTGATTTCTTTGAAATAAGAGCTTGCCAGAAAGAATAATTTCACAGAGAGTTTAGTCCCCTTACTATCTTTCAACCAGTATGTTTTTCAATAATAATTACGCCAGTTACTTTTTTGGATAGCTGCAAATGATGGACTCCGGCTTTAAGATCGGTTGGAGCATTGATGCTATTTTTACCTGAGCTGAAGGTGATTATCAGCATCCAGACTCCAACCGGTCTTAAACACTGTTTTATACCAGCCTAGCACATATTTATTCTCATTTGCAATACCTTTTCGGTCAACCATAGCCAAATCAGGATCAACACATGGTTCGCCTCGACAGACTACATGGACTGTGTGTGTGCACACAACACACGAGGGATTAGCGTGTTTAGACGTCACCCGGAGGCGAGTCGAGGCAATCTTGACGTCTTAACCCGTCAGCCGTGCCTGTGCACAAAGACAGCCAGTGCATGTTATCACAGCCTCCGGCGCAAACCGGTTAATCAGTCAATCAGTCAATCAGTCGGGGAGTCAGTCAGTCAGCAAGTCAGGTACAAAGATGACTTTAGGCTGGCCCCTCTGATACCAGCAAAAATGAAAACTAAATGTTGATTTTTCATTCTCCAGATGCAGGGGCAGTCATCCACTCACACTCGAAGAACGCTGTGTTAGCCACACTGCTGTACCCAGGCAAGGAATTCCGAATAACGCACATTGAAATGGTGAAGGGCATCAGAAAAGACACAACGGGAGGCAACATTCGGTAAGTGTCATAGCGCTGTGCACTTTTGAATAATTTGAAAAATTCAAATATTCCGGACACATCGATCATGTTTTTCAATTGTGTAATTCTAGACACTCTTTGGTGCGATCTGAGGCAATTTCTGACCTCTTTAGAGGGAAGATACAACATTTGCAAACATCACAAAACAAAATAATCAAATTAGCACGAAATACCGTACTGTATTGTTAGGGAATGACAGTCTAAAGCATTCTGTAAAATCGTGGCTCCTGGTGAGAGGCGAGCGCTTTACGCGCAAGCCAACCATGCCATCCTAAAATACCATTTTCAAGAAAAATGGTATTTCTCAATGCTGGTCGGCCGACTAGTGTTGGAGAAAACTGACTTTTTTCCAAAAACTGCATTCAAGATTTTCATAATTACTTATTCCGCATTTTCTTTGCAAGTGATTGCAAACCTGTTTTTTTTTCAGCATCCACAAGCCCAAAACGTGAAAGCATTTGCTATAACGTACTAATCCTCCAAATCCATTTATTTCTGAATATTACAGCAAAAGCAAATGTTGTATATTCCCTTTAACCAATTTCTTTAGTAAAAGATAATCATTTAAACATCACATTCAAGATTTATTAAATTTTTTTTTTTGCGTGAGAAATCTGGTGTGGGCGTGAGAGCGTGAAAATTACCTGAGTCTCACGCACAGTACATGAGAGTTGGCAACCTGATGGAGATTGGCGCGTATTGCACAATGTGGCAAAGAACGCAGCTACCGTAGCTCGCAGTGGTGTTTTACCGGCAGTTTAACACCAGTGATGTAGTGCCTTGATGCTGGGCCTTGGCCTTAAGGCTGCCTTAAGGCTGGATTTTAGGGCCTTGGCCTCGAGGCTTGAGGGCAAAAGCCTTGGCCTTGAGGGTTCAGGGCCTTGCAATTTTGAGTCAAGGCTCTTCAAGGCCCATAGATTTTTGCATTTTCCAGATAAATCTGTTCGAAATTTTGCTGTTACCATTTTAATCGTATTACCATGGAGGAGGGAAGCACCCTATAGATTTGTGTGTTGGGCACACTTCCACTTTTGTAGCATCACATTTTGTTACCATTGTAGTAGATTTGCTGCAAAAATATTCCGTACACTTGTGGGGCTAATGAGATGATCACTTTAATTGCATATAACTATGGAATGGATCTGATTGGTTGTATATGTCTCCCTGATAAGTGCTAAAGATTTACATGTATCTGTTTTAGATAATGCTGATATTTCTGACCTTGTTGGGCCTGCAAATAAAAATTTCCCAAATCAGTTTCTTGGATCCCCCTTTTGGTACACTTGGGAGAATTGTGTGTCAATATAGAAGTAAATCATTATTTTGTTTAGTTGAACCATATTGAAGACCTGAACTTATACAGTGCAGTCATAAAACGGTGTAGGCCTATGCGAGCATGTTGATTGCAATTAAAGAAATGTTGTTCTTCGTAACGAGCAATTCGTGATGATAAGGGCGGATCCAGGGGGGCTATAAAAAAAGGGGCCATGCCCCCCACCCAAAAAAAAACGAAACCATTTTTTTTTTATGTGACGTCGTAATAAAGGCAGGCAATGAGTGCACCACCATCTTTTCCTCAAAAAACATCGGTTAAAATGGTCAGAAATTGCCTCAAACCGCACCACAGAGCATCTCAAATCCAAAAATTTTTCGGGGCCCTTAAGCGGGCCCCGAAGCCGAAGCCGTAATTTTTATGACCCACTTTTTTTGGGGGGACCCAAATTTCTTTGCCCCCCCCCCAAAAAAAAAATTGTGTTCTGGATCCGCCCTTGCGTGATGATGTGTCACTCATGTGACTATAATTAGTTCTATATCAGTGGTCATTTCATAAAACAGGGCCTTGGCCTTGGCCTTGGCCTTGAGGGTTAAGCCTTGGCCTTGGCCTCGAGGCTTGAGGGTCAAAGCCTTGGCCTTGGCCTTGGCCTTGAGGGTCAAAGCCTTTGCTCCAACACTGTTTAACCCTTACTCTCTGAGGGTAGTTTACTGCATGTCAGTTGGTTATGCCAATGCCCTCCAGCTGCAGTTTATTGGAGGATACTTCTATGTAGCAGTGAAGGCTCCAATTGGCAGGAGTTGGAGGCCCTGGAGGGTGCCTGATACTGACCAGCTGGGGGCACTTGATTGTTATCAGAGGACTCTCATTGTTCTCTGTGGCATGTATTGGAATGCCTGTCCAGTTACCCTTGAAATGACATGGCAGATATTGGAGGGCCATGCAAAAAACATAGGAGATTTTCTTGAGGCACATATTGGCATGCATTGGAGGGTCAAGTAGGGTAAGGGTTAACACCCACGTGATTCGACCAATAGGAATGGTCAAACTGTCCTACATGTACAATGTAGGCACCGGTATTTAAGAATATCGATCAAGACCAAGCTGCCAAGTAAGAATTTATGATGAAGTACTCAATTGTTCAAACATGCACAAAGTACATACACCTTTGTCATTCTCAATTGTTTTTTTTTCATTTTTATTAGGGGGGGGGGGGGGTCTTTTTCAGGCATTTAATTTTTCCTTGGATTAGATGTTTTCACTTTTTAACTTCCCAAGTGCATGTACCGGTAGGCCTTTCCCATTAAAAAGTTTTTAAAAAATAAGGAAATCGAGAGAAAAACAACTTATTCTCTAATTGTTGTGGCTTCCCCTTTTTTTTGCTTGCTTGAGTAATTATTAGCATCTAGACGCGAATATTTCTTCAACAGAATGTTTAACACCTCCCCAGCATACATTCACTTATTAGTCCCTGATTGTGGTACACCAGGCATGTAAAGTTTCCTTGGATCTGATGTTTTCACTTTTTAACTGTTCCTCTATGCCATTTAAAAGCAAACAAAATATGAAATTGAGACAAACAACTTCAGAGTTCTCTGCTTGTTGTATGCGCCAGATGTGAGTCCCCTCCTTATGTACAAAACTCTCACAGTGCTCTTTTGGGTTTCAGCCTGAAAAATACATTTTGTTTGGAGAATGCTATTTTTTTTTTCCTTTGCAAAATAAAACTTACATGTGCTTTTGAATGAGACGAGGAACCAAAGCAATCCGCCTATGAATAAAAGTAAGAGGACAAAGAAAGGAGATTATAAGTACAGTAAACATGGTAAATAAATCTTGACAGCGAGGACATTTTGTTATAATTTATTTTGTTCATCGGAGGCCGTGGAAAACGGGGCTGTATCATAAGTCCGACGTCTCATAGGTCCGATGCCTCATAAGTCCGAAATTTCAAACTTATGAGGCGTTGGACTTAAGAAGCATAAAATTCATTTATTCCACCTCATACATGTACATGTACGTCCAACACCTCATAAGTGCGACAATGAGGAAAAATGGAAAAATGAGGCATCAGACCTATGAGGCCTCAGAGTTACAATATGTATGGACCGTTACCAGAAAAGGTTAATTTGTCCGACAAGGCAAGATTGACTGTTCTAAACAGAACAAAAAACTACTTAGCAAAGTTGATAATAAGCAGGACAAGTTCTTCTCAGAACTAATATCTTCTAAGCAGTAGTTATTACCACATGGTGTTACCGCAAACCGAAACGATACCGATACCCCACCATGCAAAGCCTCAAATCTTATATCAGTATGCTCTAGGGGAGCGCATGAAAAACCTTGTCAAGTTATACTAACGCTCTTGTACCAGAGGTTGCAAACTGATCAATAACCTGACATAATCCTACTTAAGGAGTAGCATCTCCAACTATCTTCAGTCTCCTGACGATGACTAGAGCAGGCTAGTCGAAACGTTGAGACCAAAGACAAGTTCTTTGAGAACTTACAGCAGGACTGTTCTAAACAGAACAAAAAACTACTTAGCAAAGTTGATAATAAGCAGGACAAGTTCTTCTCAGAACTAATATCTTCTAAGCAGTAGTTATTACCACATGGTGTTACCGCAAACCGAAACGATAAGGCAAGATTGAGATTTTAAAAAATGTACAATGTACAACGTTTTAAGTTCGCGTGTTTGTCTACTTAGGAATGGCGCACAAGTTGTTGCGAAACAGCCAAGCGTGTTTCAGCAACATGTTCGGCCACAGCACGGCTCGTATCAGTTATGCACACTGATACTGCACTGTGTGCGCAACACGATGTACGGTACCATGATGTACATGTAAGGCCAGCACTCAGCCAGCGGCCGTCGTGAATAATGTTGAGCATATTTGGTGGTTTGGGCGACTTAAATTCTCCATTATTTTTATGAATCAGCCACCTTAAATAGATTTCTGAAGTAATTGAGGCAATTAGTTTTCACCACTTTTGATGACCACTCTCTTTTTTTCCGACCTACATTGTACATGTACCGACCCTATTTTGGAAGGCATGTACATGCATACGTACCTGTATGTAATTGAAAGCAGAAGGAATGTTTTCTTCGCCTTAACTCCTTAATTTGAATCATACTTGTAATCCATACTTTTCCTGTTCAGGAAGTTGTAAAGTTTGTGAAGTGTTTCTTGTTTTGTTTTTTGTACCAAAAAAAATATAAATCTCTGAATTTTAAGGAAAAATCTACAAAAGAGACCCCCAGATTTGCTCTAAAATGCGCCAGAGAGCTTCTAAAGTTATGATTTTTTTGGTCCCTTAAGCGGGCCCAGAACCCCACGCCATGGCTTCGCAAGTTGTTGAATCACAACAAAACTTCCCCCAAATTCTCACTCTCAACTCTTACTGAAAGTTGGCAGCCCTGCCGGAGTGTTGAAAAACATGAGGATTTGGCAAGAAATATCGTACGAGGACTGGTGAAATGACATTTGCGAATCAGTATTTGTGGCATTTGGATGCTATACCATGTGAAAAAAAATGTATTTTGCCTTTTTTGGAATTCAATTTTTTCACCAAAAATATTAATGCCGTCCCGAAGTGGTTAATGGGCCCTTTCATTTCATTAGATAATTGTTGGAACCTGACTTTGTTCAATGTACAGTGTGTTATCAAGGTCAATGACAATTCTGTGTTATAGCCACAGGCTCAA